ACTGTCTGTTGTGGATAGTGTACCATATGTCTAGTCATGTATTGATCATTACTGTCTGTTGTGGATAGTGTACAATATCTCTAGTCTCTCTATTGATCATTACTTTCTGTTGTGGATAGTTTACAATACGTTCTATTCACTGTCAGTTTCGCTATTTACGTTCGTTTCTCACATGTCTAGTCACTGTCAGTAAATTTTTATATGTCCTGTTTAACTTGTCCCGTCACGGTAAGTATCATTCCTTATGGTCTGATCTTACAGAAAATCGTTATGAAGAAATAAAAGAAAGATTGTTTGTGTGTCAGCTTTAATATGTTTTAAATTCGTTATGGTGGAATCTAAAGATTGAACAGTGTTTGTTTACTGTATCATATTATTATTATTATTACACAAGAACGTGTCTATATTACTACTTCCATAGCTAGCTGCTTACTTACCCTGCCACGACAATGAAACCGTCCAGACGATTCCAAGTTTCAGCGAGGTAGGCCCCCTTCCCTACGAAACCCATGGCCAAAACTTTGATCATCATTTCTAGAGCGAAGAAGGCGAATATTAGATGGTCGAACAACTGTAGGTGTTTACAGCGATTGTTATCACATAGTTCATCCACACATGGTTGGTACATGCCCAGCGTGACGCAGTTTAGCAGGATGACCATCATGTTGACTCGTTCAAACCACGTGATCGGGAGAGTTAAGGAAGAAAGTTGGAATCGATTTTTTTTTACTTTATTAATAAATATAATTATAATCTGGAACAGTTTCAAGAAAGAACACATACACTACACATACGTGTATATGTTCTATACAGGATTGGACAAAATAATAGAATGTAGCCTTATGATTATATTATATATCATTGAATTTGTCAGCTTGCGAATAGTATGCTATTGTTGTTGTTGTTGTTCTCGGAGTAAGTTTGTAAAAATGTCCAAGGAAGAATGACTCTACGTGAACCTCTAGATGGGTGTTCAGTGAGAGGAACACCTAAATAGATGGGTGTTCAGTGACAGGAACACCTAAATAGATGGGTGTTCAGTGAGAGGAACACCTAAATAGATGGGTGTTCAGTGAGAGGAACACCTAAATAGATGGGTGTTCAGTGAGAAGAACACCTAAATAGATGGGTGTTCAGTGACAGGAACACCTAAATAGATGGGTGTTCAGTGACAGGAACACCTAAATAGATGGGTGTTCAGTGACAGGAACACCTAAAGCAATGAACGGTGTTAGATGTGGTGTCAGCAGGGATATCGAAAAATATCATACAAATACAATGAAAATATCCTGAGGAACAGTGTTAGATGTGGTGTCAGCAGGAATATCGATAAATATCATACAAATACAATGAAAATATCCTGAGGAACAGTGTTAGATGTGGTGTCAGCAGGAATATCGATAAATATCATACAAATACAATGAAAATATCCTGAGGAGCAGTGTTA